CTCCAATATTGCAATTTACTACTGAAAATATATTTTTATCTGTTAAAATATCTCTTTGCTATATGATATTGGTTATATGTGTTTGTATATGTTACACAGTAGTTTTCACATACTTGGAGATGCTGCTTCTATTCACTACTGATGGATTACAACATCTAAAATAATAAAAATAAAAAAATACATGTGGACAACGAAAACTAATTAATAATGCTATCCCATCTAAGTATGAAATGACAAGCTGGTACAAAAATATTTATCTTGGCCTAAGTATTCTGTGCATTAGCAAAGTCAGCAGTAAAAAAGCTTGAAACATTCATCAGACAAAAAATGATACAGAAAGAACTTTAATAAACCTTAGATTAACAATGAAAAAACCCTAGCTCAAAAAAACCTATAGCCATACTCAAAAAGCACAGCAAAACAAAGACAGGTTTTTTTATCAAAGTGTCTTAAATACAGCAGCCCAAGCTCTCTGAAACACAATTTCAAATTATGAAAATAATTCAGGAGCAATGTTAAAGTCTACATTCCCTGGAAGTCAGTAAAAAGGCTGACAGAAAAGATTGGTTGTAGACAAACAGTCACCATTCTCCTCCCTCCTCTCTCTCTCTAGGTCAGACTGCAGACACAAGTTCTCTCTCTATAGTGTTAGTTTCTATTCTGGAAAGACCCTGAGTGCACAGCCCAGGTTCCACCTGGATAACTGGACACTCAGTCTCTGTCAGTGTGTTCAGAGACAAAAACCACTACCAAGAGTGTGGCCCAAGCATCCTGGTTTGGTACTGCTTCTGCTAACCAATGGGAAACTCAAACATTGCCAGTACTTCATATTTGTCCTTTCATGACTGCCAGCTGTCCTGAAATCATACAGAGGATTTACTGGTAGTTGTGCAGGGGCAAAACAGCTACTAGGAATAAAGCAGAATGTCTTGACAGTACCTCATCAGAACTGCTGAAACCAAAGATCCTCAGCAAAGCTCACAGTCATCTGAAAACCTCCAGAAACCAATCACATCATATAAAATCAATCCTTATCATCACCCATAAACACCTGTTTATGGCAAACTTGTTGAGAGAAAAATATTTAACACTAATCTCTTTTAAACTCTCAACACTCCAAGGTCTACCAGATTAGGGATAATTGCTAAAGACAACTAATGAAACTCAAGACTCAAGAATTTTAGTTTTGGTATTCCCTGCTTTGCAATGCTACACGTTGTCCAAGATTTCCTAACAGAAGTGCTATTCAGAGCTCCACACCACTCATGCCAGTGAACCATCATGCTAATAATGGAATAAAAATAAGTGATATTTTGCCACTACAATTACCCATCCAGAAGCAATTGTTCCATGTAGTTTGAGGAACACTGTTTCCTGACAAGACTGACTTTCATCTGAGCACCCCGACTGCTACCATAAAGTAAGCTTATGTAGTAGTTAATTATAAAATGTATAATTAACAGCAGTATATTCCCTGCCATCTGCAACAGACATGCAATGCTTAAGAAGTATAGTTTTGTAGTGGACATACAAAAGATTTTCATTCTAAACTAGAATGAATAACAGCTAATTCCATAAAAAATATTTATATTTTTAACTTAGTTTGCTGAATGAGCCAAAATTGCTTGCAATATAAAGTATTGTCTTTGCCCAGAAAGCCTCTCACAATATATAGGCTTTTTATAATAATGAAAGCCCCACTCAAGGAAAAAAATCAATTTTGAGTCCTGCAATTTAGCCAAAGCCATCCCAGGACGCCACTGCACACAATATTCAAAGTTCAGGCTTGTTTAACTTTTGTGTCTCCTTGGAATACTGTTCACTAATGGCAGCTCCCCCAGCCTTCCACTTTATACACTAAGCAAAACCACATTGTTATACATAAATTTGCTTTGCCCAGGAAAGAAAGAGCCCTCTCATAACTGTAAATGCGATCCCCTAAAACACAGCACTGAACATGACACAGCACATTTTGAAAAAAACTTACTAATAAATTGATGACACAAAGAAAGTGCTGTACAATCAGCTGTAGAAAAACACTGCATAAACAACCTAACAGTAGACATTTGTTCTCCACTCAAAGACCACTTTACTGTATTTCACAATACTTTTTCTTTTACTAGCTTTCTTACAGAACTCTGCTATATATTCTGATTTGACATGGCTGCTCATGTAAAAAAATTAAACTACCACTTACTAACAGTTGAAGTTCAGAGAAAAACACATTAAAGTTAAAATATGAAAAAATTCAACAAACTACTTGCAACTTGAGATAGATTATTTTCTTAATGAAATTTTGTGAAATATTCAAGTTCATGTGACTTGTAACTTCAAAACTATTATGGAAGTCAGAGAGGAAACAAACCATGCAAAAGTATGCAAAACCCCTTCAATTTCAGTACACCTCAGTACTGAACACTTAGTCCACGGCATTATGAAAGTATGCAGCGTGTGCTAGAAATCTACAGCAGTTTTTGTGCACATCACATTGAATTCAAGATATTAAAATAATATACAAAAAGAAAACCAGCTTATTTCAGAGGCTGAAAAAGTACAAGAATTAGGCTAATATTTGTTCAATCATGGTGAATTTCAGCAATCTCTTTTCAATCAGTTTTCGAAGTGGAAAAACTTTTCATGGCACATCTGTACCTCCCTGTTTTTAACTAGAGCTTCAGCAATACATCTTCTGTGAAAACAGAAGTGATTGTTGAAAAGATTGTGGCTCAATAACTCAGCAAAAAATTGAATAATGGCTTTGAATTGCTAAAGTCTTTCACTGGATTGATGAAGATTCTGCAGCCCACAGCTGCAGCAAGCTGGCAGTAATAAATTCTCCATGCACTGCAAACTAAGGATCTGACTATTTCATCCATTTCTAAGTATGTGAAAGCTGGAGGCAAAGCCATTTTACAACTGAATAAATACTTGCTTCTTTCCTTATGGCCTCTAACAGAGGTAGTAGTGTAAGGCCAAACAAGAATAGAACTCCCTGGAGATGCCTGCTGTGAGGAACGTCATAGCATTTCTTCAAGAAATTTCAAAACAATAGCTTAAGGGCAACTTTTTCCATTAGAAATCAAATTATTTTGAAAGAGTCAATATTTATAATAAAGGCCACAGTACAACACATGAATTGAATTACTCATTTTTCAATCCAAATGTACAATACTCAAGTTCAAAATACTTTCCAAAATTTCACATTCATTGTCTGCAAAGACAAACAAAACTTGAGTTTTCTTTCTTGTTATGCCAAGCAAATACATCTTTATGCTAATACAATGTGGAATTTATTGTATATAAGTACAATTGTAACAGAACAGACAAGTCTGGGGTTTTTTCTTTCCACACATGCCATAAATCTAAATAAAATTTAGATAGTTAACTTAAACAAGGTCATAATCCTTGCTTATTACCAATCTTATCTTTGTCATACTTTCCTGAAGAATAGTCCAAAGTTTCTTTAGAACAGCTATACAGTGCTGAGTAACACTTCTTATGCTACTTATAAATGGCAGCTTCACTCCTGCTCACTAACTACTTGCCAATTTCAAAATCATCTGTTTTATATTACTGAAAACTCCTAGCTTTCTGAAAAATGTTTCCTGAGCTGCTTGTCCACCAAAATAACAAGCATATTTATGTATCCTGTATTTCAGTTATTGATTATTTCACAGTATGTATATAGGTTTTAGAAACTTATCCTACTAAACCAAGAAATCTGATATGACAGGATTCTTCTCAGACAATCCTAGCAGCCAATCCAATGCACAACAATAAGAACATTAATTCTACAAACCTAAGCAATAAGAAAAAATTAGTGGAAATCACAGATGAGCTTCACAGAAGAAAAGAGAGGTACTTGGCTTTTCACAAAAGTGAAAGGGCATTTTCAATTTTAAGCAAGAACCTTCTGTGTGCATAATGTAGAACTTAGAATTTGTGAATATGGGCTTTGATTAGGAAAAAGGGTTTCCTTGCATACAACTGATAGGAATAGACAAAAGTTTATCACTGGCCTAAGTAAGGTTCATTATGGATCCCTAAATAAGGATAGATTCAAAAAAACTTTCAATCAGTGGAGACTTCTTACTAGAACATTTGCAACTCTCAGAGCCATAAGTGAAGCCCAGAGGATGTACTGTCTGTGCTCCACAGAGGATGTGACATCAAATTTGCATTTGCAAATTTGCATTTACTCCTTTTGATTCAAAGTATTCCATACAAAGATGAAGGAGCTGCTACAGGAGAATTACCAGAGTGTTTTTAATGTACATTTCAGTCCTCCAAAATGGTACACAAACAGAACAAACATCACCTGTGCCTTCACAATGAATACTGGCATAATTTGAAACCTGTATTTTTGAGACACAGGTAAAATTTAGATATAAAGAACAAATACTAAGATACAATAAAGCTATCATTGCTAACATACATGCAAGAGCTTTAGGCAGATACTGGCCCCAGACAGTGTACTGCAGGAAAAACTTAGTATTTGATTGAATCCATGTGACACTACAGATATTCTTCTGAAGTTAAAAGCTGATAAGCTTTGTATGGGTCTCAGAAACACCCCAGAATGTCTCCACTAAATCAACTATCAGCAAAAGCAATGTATTGCTGAATAGGATTTAAGAATCCTTGGGAGGCTCATTAAATTTTCATAGCTGAATGAAAAAGGTTTCCACCACCTTCTTTAAGAAATTAGAGATACAGTAAAATGAACAAATTTTACCATTTCCACATCACCTCCAAAAGATCCACGCACAGAAATTCACTTGAAGAATACAAAATCAAAATAAAATACTTCTTAAAAGACTGCATTTTGCAAATAGTGGTGTACACCATAACAAAAGCATGGCTTTCTACCACAAAGACACCACGAGACACAGCTGTGACTATTAATAACAGAGTCATATTGTGCCCCAATCATTATGTGTGAAGGTAAGCCCAGATACGCCTCAGTGGCTGACTGTTATTGTAGGGATAAAATTCCTTACCTTGAAAAGACTGCTTGGCTCTGTCCACCAGTTCTTCAATAGGATAACTTGCTAGATCTCCTCTGGCATGCTTAGTTTTACAGTAGGTACATGCATTGAGACACCTGTTCAAAAAATGAAAATACTCAGTTTCTAGGCAGGAAAGCCTTTATAGGCACAGCGGTATTTATTAAGTACCTCTGGAAAAATGAGTTTTTATATCTATGACCAGAAAAGAGTAATATTTTGTTTTTAAATCAATGGAATACTTCTTAAAGTATCTTTCACATCTATATGAAAGTTTGAAAAACAATCAGTGGGAACCACAAACAAAACTAAGAGTAGCAATTTAAAAATTTTTAGAAAGGTATAATCAGGTTAATAATTTTTTCATTACTAAAGATCAATTTCCAGGTTTCCGATCCCTCTATTACATAAGAAATCCAACCTGAACCAGAAAGTAAATGAAAAAAGTCCCAAAAGGCTGAAAGTAGATTTTTAAAAGTGCATATACTTGAAAAGACATTTCAATTCATTTTTTAAACTTTACTTTGGCTTGTATAAATAGAACAAACAATGTAATGAAGACAGAATCACCAACTAGAAAAGAGAGTTTGGCACAAAAGACTGCAAAACTAATGAAAACTCCTACAAGAAAATGAAGAAATAATGTGATTGCTTTTAATTTACCTGACAATATACTAAAGGCAGACTTATTCAGAGTACAAGGATGGAAAGACCAAAACAAACAAAAACTACCTCTCACTGTAAACCTGTTGTGCTTTTCTTCCCTTCTCCCCTTTTTAGAGCTGATATTGCTCTAGGTTTTTTCAGGTTAAAGCATTTAAACCTAAGCCCTAAAAACCTCACAGACCTCAAAAAACTCTTTAAATATTTCTATTGTTCATGCTTACTTGAAGACCATAAATTCTGTCCAGGCCACAGCTTCATAAAATCATACAATCTTTAAGGCTGGAAGAGACCTCCAAGATCATCAAGTCCAACATTTGACTGATCACCACTGCATCAAATAATAAACCACAGCACTAAGTGCTACATTCATCTCCTGAACACTTCCAAGAATGGTGACTTAACCACTTCCCAGGGCAACCTGTTTCAATGCCTGGCCACACTTTCAGTGAAGATGCTCTTCCTCATGTCCACCTCCCCTGACACAGCTTGAGGCCATTTCCTCTTGCCCTGTCACTGGTTTCCTGGCAAGTGATCCCCACCAGGCTACACCCTCCTTTCAGGCATCTCTAGAGGGTGATAAGGTCTCCCCTGAACCTCCTTTTCTCCAGGCTAAACACTCCCAGCTCCCTCAACTGCTCCACATCAGATTTGTGCTCCTGATCCTTCCCCAGTTCGGTTTCCCTTCCCTTCCCACTCCAGCCCCTCAGTCTCCTCCTTGCAGTGAGAGGCCCACAGCTGAGCAGATTAGAGGTGCGGCCTCACCAGTGCTGAGTACAGAGGGACAATCACTGCCCTGCTCCTGCTGGCCACACTATTGCTGACACAGGCCAGGATGCCATTGGCCTTCTTGGCCACCTGGGCACTGCTGGCTCACATCAGCCACCGTGAACCAGCATCCCCAGGTGCTTTTCCACAGGACAGCGTTCTGTCCACTCTTCCCCCAGTCTGTAGCACTGCAAGGGGTTGTTGCAATCCAAGTGCAGGACCCAGCATTTGGCCTTTGAAATTCCTAATGTGGGCCTTGACCCATCAACCCAGCCTGTTCAGCTCCCTCTGCAGACCCTTCCTACCCTCCAGCAGATCTACACCCCAGCCCAACTTCAGTGTCATCTGCAGACTTACTGAGGATGCACCTCATCCCCTCATCAATAGAGATATTTAACAGGACAGGAAAACATTTAGGTACCAGAAAAGGCAAATGTTCCAACTATAGCATAGTTGGAACTAATACCAGAGAACTTTCAAAACAATACTGGAAAGGCAAATAGAGCACAGGGTGGGTTTTGATGAAGTCACCAGCTCCAAGATTGTGTTCACTACTTGGATGTATCTTGTCTTCTGTTAGGATGTCTGGCATGTCCATGACTAGCTGATTAGTGCTTTGCAAACTCCAAAGGTTTTTCTTCACAGACTCCACTCACATGTTAGTTCTGCTGCTTTTGCATAAGAAAGGGTTCAGGAAGGGCAGAACACTGCCCAGAACATTTGTTCAGCTGCCCTCCTGCCACTGCACATTCCCTCAGCCCCAAGACTTTCTCCATTCAACAGAATCCTAAGTTCTAGGAGAACATTTAGGTAGTTTGTGATTCTCTCTGGATATGTATATTATTTGTTGTGCCCACCAGACCAAAACATCAGATTTTAGCATTCACTCCAGATAAGAAAACTAAAATATACTGCTTAACAGCAGCAATCAGACTGTTCTATTAACTAAAAATATATATGAAAAAGGTTGCCAGTGAAATATCCAACTGGCTATTAAAAATAGAAAAAATCCCTAAATCTGAATCTTTACAACCTGTTCCAAAAAAGTGACCAATTGCCACCCAAAGACAACTTACTCATCAGATGTATCTCACCTTTCTTCTGCAAATCAAAAGCCTTTCATTGCACAGGATCTGAAGCATGTGTAAAAGGTACCGCTTGAAATCAAGAAAGTGTAAGCAGATAATTGGTTTATACTTTGTCTGTGTAACTATGTCGCAAATGAAAATATTTTTCTTCTAGGTCACTGTCATCTAAACTTTGCCATGAATGGCTTTCCCTCAAAGCCCATGGGTACTTCTTCCTCTCCATGGTCCCGCTATGCAAAACATGTCTCCCTCCTTTTTTTTTCTTTTCTTTCTTTTTTGTTAGTTTGTTTTTAAAGCACAACTCTCCATTCAAGCCAACACTTCATTTCTAAGCATGCTCCTATCCTGACATACCACTGTCACACTCCTCTTCCTCTACATCATTTATTCAGCAAACCAGCCTTTTTCCACACAGCTACACGGAGAAAAAGCATTACAGATCAGTTAAGGAAACATAAAATCAGTTTCAGAACAAATATGTCTGCCCTTTTGGAACTAAAACACAAAAGGTGTGATATTATGTACTAACCTTTGTACTATACCAACCTTTGTTTTCTCCAAGAAATAAAATTGCCTGCTATTTTGTCAAACTTCTCAGGTGAAGAAGAAATTTTACCACAACTATCCTGCCCCTTGAACAGCAGGTTACTTTAACGCTGGCTTTTTCACTCACAGAAGAGAATACTGTCAGCCATCAGTAAAAAAGGGATGCACCAAGATTTTTTTCTCTTGGGATAAAGTAAATTTATTGGGCTCAAATTGAAGCTCAGATTTGGAAAAAAACAACAACAAATGAGAAAAATGCGACAACAACCTTTATAATTTCCTTAAATTTGCAAATTCTGCCTTAAGAGTTGCCTCAAGGCAACAAAAAACATTATCACAAATTTTTTGTTGCCTTGAACTGTAACCTTGAATGAAAACAATGCTTTTTGTCAACCTTCAGGTGTGTCAAGTCATCCTAAGATTGTTAAAAACTAAAATATTAGTAAGTTATTTTAAAAAACTTTTAAACTTACTCCTGTGTAATAGATGTAAAATATAAACTGGTGTTGAGGTACAGTAAAAAGGATAATTTATGCTATATACATAGAATTTTCCTGTTCCTTATCATGTATGGTGCGTCTATAAAATACACCATGTCACCGCTTTCTCTCCTCTCCTCATTATTTATGCATAAATCATATACATTTCTCACTATGTATTTTGCTCTATATTTGGGTAGCAGTATTTGAAAAGCTTTACAGCAAAAATAGCAAACACTAGGAGTGTTAAGTACTATGCACCAGTGCCAAATACTGAAATCTTAAATCTCCAAACCTTGAGGATAATCCTCACATCTTCAATCAATGCTCTTGTCCTACAAGACTGCACTACCTGAAAAAATGCAGTAACAGCAGCTCTTCTATGGTACTTCAGTAAACTCTGTCACAAAGAGAGCATGGAAATGTAGAGAAAGAAGCAGCAATAAAGAAGATGATATTTTCCAAATATTCACAGTATTATTATGATATTTGCCAATATTTTCACAATATTATATTTTCCAAATATTCACTGTAGTATGTGGTATTGCTTCCGAGACATTTACTATGGTCTTTAAGTACAACTTCAGAGGGTTTGTTGATTTATTTTGGGGTAGGAGCTGAAAGTTGGAACTTGGAAGCAGACTTTTTTCAAGTTTTGCTGTGGTAATTAACTTACTCCTACTATAAAAAAAGAAGTATTGGACATGTCTAAATAATTTAGTTTTTTCTTTTTTTTGGTACTTAAAGAGATGATAAAACAAAACCAGAAAGACACAGGCTTAGATGTAATATACAAAAGGATCAGTTTTAGAAAGCAAGCTAAAGGAGACAAAACTTCTATATCCTGTTTGGACTATATTTGTTAATAACAACTTGTATAAGGAAATAATCTTTTGGAATACAGCTGACCAACAAAAGGATGCAGATTTAAACTACTTGTAAAAATGCTGAACTGATCACTTTTCACAGATATAACAATTACCAATTCTTGAAAATAGAAATTTAAACCAAACCATAAGTATAATCAAGGATCTGTAGTGGTTTCTTCCCTAGTAAGCCAGCCTCCTCTCCAAGTTTCCAGCATAACAAATTACTCGTATGTCCATGCTGCCACATACTCAGACCACAATCAAGTGGAAAAAGGCTTTTGGGAACTCTGAGAATCTGAGCACTGCCTCTTACTAGGTGGCATCCACTCCCAAGTGGATCACCTAAAACCAACATCAACTTAAAAACCAGCCTTTACCACAGCTCTAGCTCACATACACAGGACTACACAGCCAAGAAGCCAGTACTTGCAAGAGTGTATTTGCTTTGTGTTAAACTGGGAGCATTCTTGAAGCATTTATAGCTGGTTTGAAAATGTTAGTTTGTATTAATGCAAGTCAAAGCTTTTTTTTTTTTTTTTTGCACAAAGAAATCAGACACTTATAGAAAATAATTAATGATCATTGTGTTTGCAATTGCCAATATTTGGCTAAATTTTAGAGTAATTCCAGAACAAAAAACACCGAATCATGATTTTCCAACAAACTAAATTGATTAAGGTACTTT